ATGATGCAGTCATCAATAGTAGTAAATGCCAATTTGGTGTTTTGTCACTAGAAATTCTAGGACATATTGTTGACTCGGTCGGCATACGTACTCTGCCATCTAGAGTTTCCGCCATTTGTGACTTTTCAGCGCCCAACAGCAATAAAAAGTTAAGACGTTTCCTTGGTCTTATCAATTACTACGGTCACCTAACTCTGCCGAGGTTGTCCAACCGCTCACCGACCTACTCAGACTGAAAGCTCGCAGCTTCACTCTCACAGCGGAGGCCATTTTGTCATTTGGAAAGGTTAAGGAAGTGTTAAATCAGGCAACTAATTTGGCACATATAAATCCTGACCCGCCTACGCCTCTTCTCCTGGTTACTGATGCCTCGCAAACCGCAGTTGGTGCAGTTCTACAACAGGAGGTCAACGGTGAAATAAAGCTTACAACATGTACAGACTCGATATAGCACTTTTGGCCGTGAACTTCGCGCAATCTACTTAACTGTTTGGGACTTCCGACATGTTTTGGAAAGCCGACACTTCGTGATCCTTACAGATCATAAGCCGCTCACTTTTGCACTCAATGCGACACCTGATCGTTCTTCACCGAGGGAAATCAGGCAGTTAGATTATATCAGCCAATTCACTAGCGACATCCGTCATATTAGTGGTCGCAGCAATTTAGTTGCAGATGCTTTATCCCGTGCCCATGTCAACCACTTGGTGCAGGCCCCGTTCGATCTGCAATTAATAGCTGAAAGCCAAAAGCAGGACGAAGAATTACAAGAGCTTAGATCACATCTTTCCTTAAAGTTTGCTAATATGCCGCTCTTAAACTGTGATTCTAAAATTCTGTGTAACGTGTCCACAGGTAAACCTCGCCCATTTGTGCCTCAGAAATATCGTTGGCCAGTCTTTACGCATTTCCACTCTCTTTCCCACCCGAGTATCCGCTCAACCGCTTGACTGATTTGTGAACGTTTCTCATGGCCTAGTATGCAGAAGGAGATCCGACAATGGGCAAAACGGTGCAAAACCTGTCAACTGAGTAAAGTTCACGAACACACGGTTACGCCACCCGGAAGTTTCAACTTGCCTGCACGCCGCTTCCAGCATATACATGTAGACATTATTGGACCACTTCCACCATCCAATGAATGTTCCTATGTGTTAACAATAGTCGATCGCTTCACACGCTGGCCTCAAGCGACCCCCATGCGCGATTGTTCGTCCGAAACCGTTGACAGACATCTCGTCGATTCTTGGATATTCCATTTTGGTGTCCCTGAGAGCATCACTAGAGGTCGTGAGAGTCAGTTTACATGTGACTTGTTTCGTGAACAGAACCACCTATTGGGATGCAATCATTTCAAAACTACAGCTTACAATCCTGCAGCCAACGGCTTAGTCGAACGCCTTCATCGACAACTGAAAGCCGCCATTATGGCTAAATCATCATCACAGCTGTGGACCGAATCGATACCAGTGATATTACTTGATATTCGCAATACCGTGAAGGAGGACATTGGTTGCACTACGGACAAACGTTACGTCTTCCCGGAGATATGGTATATGTATCCACACCCAATGAAGACCTCTCACCATCGACATACGTCAGTCGACTGCAAGATCATATGCGTACTCTTCGCCCGTCTGACACTCGGAAATCCGGTCGGCACACACATTTGGGTCCCGGTCTATCTTCTTGTACACATGTATTTGTCCGTGTTGACAGCGTCAAACGACCGTTGCAATATCCGTATGATGGTCCGTTTAAAGTCATTTCTCGCAAGGACAAGTACTTTGTGATTGAGAGGAACGGAAAACCGGACTCCGTCAGTATCGACAGACTCAAAGTTGCATTTATCGATGACGAATCTCACTTAGACCCCCCTACTGTTGTCACTGCCCGCAAGTTCCCGAACCTCCAGTACAGTCATCCCAGGGAACCCCGAACATATAGCACGACGTATTGACGACCACCCGTCACCTATCCTGAGGCAAACACGTGTTGGTCGAACCTGCAAGACTCCTGTTCGCTTCGCAGACTACACCCCTTGAGTCTTGTCACATAATCGAGCGTCATTCCCTGTCATTATTCCTGACGCTATAGGGGGGAGTACTCTAGTGTCTGTAATCCGTTGTCACATTTACCATTCTTCCTGAACTTGAAACACACTTTGTAACTGTCGTTCACATTGTATCATGACGTTTGTTTTAATGTTACGAACAACATTTTTCCGGGGCGACCTGCCGACTTCTTGCTGAACGGGTGTATTTACGCTCCGTTGAACTGTTTGGTGACGGCTGAACCAGTGGGACCAAATCTCTGTGTTTGTGTCAATAGTTGAACGTCACAATAAACCGCTGTGACATTTTTTAGCAGTGAATAATTTTCCTACCGTGTAATATATCACTCACGCGGAACCATCTGTGGGAAATTCCGACAAGTGAATATTTCCTTTCACAGGCAGTCACTGCATTTGGATCGGTGTAGTGGACTATTGGATCTACACATTCGTGAGTCTCCATTTGACTAGTCATTCCTTTCCTATTGTGATTTTGTGATTTTGTATTGGTTACTTTGCTTGTTAATTTATCCGAACACGCTGATGAGGTCCTAGTCCGCTACAACATAAAGAGGGGTGCCACACGCTTTTTTCACTTGTGCCTTTCGATTGACTGCCAGCCGCTAAAGAACAAGAACAAAATCGACCGGGGGACGTGAGCAAAAACAGCGATCCTGTGTATATCAATCCGTGAACTTACTTGAACTTACAGCTGCACGAGTTCCATCTCCACTTTAGGGTTTCTGCTAATGCCGTGTAACATTTCAGTCACCTAGTACACCAGTACTGCAGTTAAACCCCGTTCGGTGAGTCTTTCAGTGCGACAAGTGGATGATCGCTTGAGTGTAAACACATGCGTTTAACTACGAGCTTTAAAGGTACTTGAACTGGACCGAGCAATTTACTTTTGCGGAGCGTTCAAGGTTACAAATGTTATGCGCAATTATGAAGAAGACATGCGTCACCGCGCAAGCAATCACGGTCTAGTTTTTATCCGCTGCAGAGAATCCGAATGGTGTCATCCCTGTATGAAGCTTCACGTATAAGAAGACTCGCCAGTAAGTATTCTCTACACATGTGCTTGATGAATTTCATAAACACGACGGTTGAACTGTATTGTTAGTTGACAGTCATCAACTATTACCAATCTGACAACATCCATCCATTGGAACCTTATGAAAATGTGCTGGTTACCTTCTTGATAATGGAGACTCTAGCATCCGAAACTGTTTGACTGATGGTGAGACCAAACTTCACAGGGCGGAAATTTTACCAACATAAATTGACTGTATCTACCAGTCAGTTAAAACCGGCCATTGCTCATGATTTCAATAATACGAATAAATACTTGCAACAAACGGAAGCGGGCTACCTGTATACTAAACTTAGGAACCCGGCTCTGGAACGAGCGTCACAACTTCAGCTCCAGCTCAAAGAAAATTGGTCACAAGAGAGAAAGCAAACTACCTAATGCATCTTTCAAAGGCTTCGGTAGAGCTTCAAAATTATGACACCTCCCGCCAGCGTAGTCTCTCTGTTTCAGTCAATAAGTCACCAAATGCATTTAATATGGAGCCGCATTCGACCGCTTGCGCACTCCCACCCATACTCCGTAAAAATTACTTTACTTGAGCTCGACGCAGCCCGATTTTTACCCATTTCGTGTCTTATTTGGTATTACCTTTAAGTTTAGTTAATCTGTACTAACAGTCTAAATGAATAGCTCTAAGTAGGGAAGAAGAAAAATTTCCCCGGTGTGATCGTGAAGTGCTTTCTAGCTAACAGCGCGATTACTACCACTCGTATGATTCAATTGCACGCTCAAAGAGGACATGTAACATTATCCCTGATACACACGATCACGACAGGTGGCCCAACACCATCTATACTTATGGATATCGGCTTATTACCTACCTAACCTGCGAGACAAATCACATCAAACTTTAAATTATTGATCCAGAAAGTCTTCATAAAAACCAGGTTTCTTCGACGAAATTCCAAGTGGTTCAGGCATAAGGACTTTCCTGCAGAAGTAGATCGTTAATCAGAAAACAATATGGCGAAAATTACAAGTGTGACACACATGCGCCAAAATTTAACAGACAAAACCAGATAGAGCTTCAAGCACGCGGATCTATTTGGCCAAAAGTATCGAATTTCTGTCCATAATGTCTGCACAATTTCCACCATTGTTGTTGACATCTATTTATTATCGATTCACACTCTCAGTCTATGAATGCATTCATAAAAATAGTTATAAGCCCCCAAATGATTCAGTGACGGTGAGTGCTGCACTCTTGACAACAAAGCGTACGTGAGGCTTTGGGCGATAATTGCGAAACAGCCGGTGAGTATTGAGGCTCATTATCACTTAGGAAATTGAAAACTAAAAATTTTTTCGCTTACGAGGGATTATGAGCACTGTGGGCCGAACTAAGTGTAACTCACCTGCTCGCAAAAGATCTTAAGGTCCACAGTCAATTGTGAGTCTATTCAAGACTAAATACAGATAGCAGTTCATAAAAAATAGCCCGCGATATGATTACTGGAAGCACATCAAATATATACCGGGAGAGGAAGTAACGGAACAATAAACTCCGTTGAAGCAGGAAGAAAGGGACTCAGAGTTAGAACGACTTAGATCAAACAAGGTCCAAAGAGTGCAAAATAACGTTATTTTGGCATATGAAATTGGCGTTCCATTGAGGAACCAGTAGGGTAAAGTAGTTCATGACTGTCTAGTTCGAAGCACTAACATCTTGGTCACTAGAATCCAAACAAAGTGGCAAGCTGGAAAGCCCTACTGTTGTGTCAAACAACGTTAAATTCAAACTACGTCAAACTACGTTAAATTAACGTAAAATGTGGGATAAATTTTGCAAACTCAACACTATCCTAGAAAAAACAACGTAAGATTTGTTAAAATAAAACCAATACTGCTGATTTTGTCTCGTCTTCAGCAACATATTGGCTCTTCTATTCAAAAAAGGAAGGAGGCAAGGAACGCCTAGCCCAAGAGACCAAGGAATTTTCAGAAATCTGCCCTACGTAGGCAAGAAATGAAGCAAAGAATAAAGATGAAAACGACCTACTGTGTCTTTGTAGCTGGCGTGAAATAGGGCGTTGCTACTAAGATTGCGATGGAGACAAGCTTTGTGGGAGTAGTCATCAGGAGCATTGGCTAAATTTTAAACAAATACACCGGCATCAACCCAACGGAGCTGCAGAAGCAGAAACTTGACTACCAGGAGGCATACAAAATGCAATGGCTATATTCGTGGGAGCAGGGGCAATTTTGAAGGAGTAGATCTCTGTATTATCCCTAAACCAACTCCAACCAGCGTAGTAATACAACTAAGATAAAATGACTGTAAATAATGGATAGACGCCGTCATGTACGGGGATACACAGTTTTAGCCGTTTACCACATTCCTGACAGCATCCATCAAAACAGTGATTTAAAAGAGTTTGTACGGGTAAGACAGAAAATTTCACTTTCAGGGGCGTATACTAGTCCAATTAGGGGGTTGTATGACTTTCAGAGGTAAGGTTTTCCAGGCAGCATTTTGACGTCGGAGTGCCATACAGTGACCTCGAGTCAGACAAGATATACCTTAGTCAAATTCCCTATGCACTAGGCCTGAATTTCATGAAAGCTGCGAGTCAAGCGGTAGCTGCAGCACTTACAAAGCTTTTAGATAGAACTTATGACAGTTAATGATATCCAAGATAAACCGGAAAACGTGGGATATCGGGTGGTTCGTTTTTGATTTAATGAGCAAATTGTTGTTTGGTGTTGTTGTCCTAAGTAAATTATAAATCTGGTTGATATGTCTTAAATCGTATGAAAAGATTTCACAGGAAAAATAACAATGTAGCGCCGAAAAAGCGCTTTGAACGCTAAAAGAACTTGTGAAGCATAGCAAATGGAGAATTATGGCTCCAATTAGATTCAAAACGCCAAACATTCGTGTGTTCCTTGCAAGTAAACATGAATAAAATATTATTATGAAAATGACGGAGTTGGTCACACAAAACTGAGGGAAACTATCAGTATGATCGGAAAAACGGTAAACAGAAAAAGTACCTCAATAAATCAGTGCAGATAAAACATAGACGTAGCGGAGAGTCAATGTAACCGAAGGTAACTCAATCACAGAAATAGAGTGCACACCAGCACCTCTGTAGTGCACTTTGTGAAAATTTTCCAACAGTGCAGTGAAATTCACAACAATAACATAAGCATGAAACGGACTAAAGGGGAATGATGATCAAAAGAAGCACGGCTGTCTAAACCCAAAGTAAAACTGTTTCTGACTAGGCTCACAGCGTTAGAGTCATCCGTATCAGGCAAACCGTGTCTGTTTGTGCGCGAGAATGTCTTATTATAACATTATCACTGTAATGCCTTCTTAAAACACGGGGAAATCTGGGAGCTAGGAAAATGAGATGAGAAGGTCGTTCCATAAAATTAACATCCACTGAGTAACTGAGATGACAGGTCTAATTGGATGAAGTAGTTTGCAGTCTTTAGAGGTTGGAAAGTAAAAATGTTCAACAGAAAGCGGAGAAAGTCACCAGCGGAGTTGCACACGAAGCCGTCCCAGGCATATTGTTGTTTGCAGTCAATACAATTTTGGTGCCATATCACACAATCTTACCAAGCTTGCTATTTACTAAATAATTAAGGCTGCTGAAAAGTCAGCAGAACAAACACGAATTATAGGCTCATCCGAATAAGCCAACAAAAATGTGAACTTTTGGTCGGCATAAAAACTGAGCCCATGATGATAGGTTCAGCCAATGGGGTTAAATCTAATACATAGTAAAACGTTCACACTGATGTTAAAGCTTAGTTTAAGATTTCCCCCAATTAACCGTTCAAAAGCCCATGTTCCCATGCAGTAAAAAGATTCCAAGGTCTTCGGTTTTGTGGATACTCATCAGTGGTCAGACTTCATTTGCGATGTTGTAAAATAAGTTCAAAATTTTGTTGAAAAACCATCCGGTTAAGGGAAGCCTGTGCATTGTCTGTGCGTTAGAGATGAATAACAGGATTTAAGGTTTGCTCAACCACTAGGATTGTGAATTGTTACGGGTTTGGTTGAAAAAGTAAACAAACGTTAAGCCAACAGAGGATCTACTCACAGCTGAAAGTGAGGCCGCAGAGCCGAGTTGAATTTTGACTTTTAAGTTGCAAGATCTCAGAACCACTCAGAGCTACTACGCTTGTTCCTACTAGAGAACTAGTGAACGACAGTCACGAATATAAGCGGTTGAATAGATCACTACGCATCTCTGAATCTTTAGGCATATTATGATGGACTAGAAGGAAATTACAACGTACCTAATACAGATCGACACTGTGGAAAACTTCAGATGCCTGATCAATCCCTATGTGAATATGGAATGGTAAAGAACTGGAACTTGAGACAAGCCATAAGATCACTAACAACGGATAAAGTTAGCTTATCTTAAAAGAACAAGTGTTACAAGATATAGCACATGAAATTTACTCAAAAGTTGCCCGCATGGATCGTTAAATTAGGGTTCATAATAATATCGGAATGGAGTATGCAAAGTCATAATGATTGAAACAAACCATAAGGACTGCTTAACGATAACAAGATATCTAAAAGTTGTATTTTTTATTTAAAACATTTTGGACAAAAAGCAGCGGAAATAAGTGCAGTCTTTGCCTTTCATATCTACGGTGTTCTACTGAACTTAAAGCACCGGTATTGAATGGCACCCATTCAGACACATTGTATAGTTCTTCAATATTTTGTCTCTGTAATGATCAGATTTTATCAACGGTACCAGTAGGCAGTACGTTCGAATGCAATAATAAAGGTATTGTCCTATAATACACAAGCAAAAAGACACAAGATCAAAACTTTGTTCCAATACCTTCAAAATTAGGGAACTCGTAAAAGACCGGTTCGTGGTTTTCATATTTAAGAAGCCGGTGGTAGTTTTCGTCCGAGGTAAAGATAAAAAAATTGATATCCATTGCAACAAATACGAAAGATTTCTAAAAATGGATGTGTTGCTATGACGTGGGAGGATTAAACATGGATGGAAGGCTAATCCTTTTACCTGAAAACCGAACTTTTCAACCGACCTATGTCGTTAGTCAACGGATACACTCCAGTCACTAAATAGCCAGTTATCTGAGCAAAATAGTCGAGAACTCAAACAAACTCCGCTTCAGTGGCTGAGGTGAGGACAATAAATAGGTCTAAAAACGAAAGTACGGTTGTTAAGACAAGCTGCGTCAAGATTTCAACCGCCAATGTAATCAAAATTGGAATCTAGGACCCGTTTTGCCTCTGCTTACTTAACGGTCGGATACTGTTAGCTACAAAAGTCTCTTTCAAAATCACTCTCTCAAAGATCAAATCCTACAATTATTTTCAATGGTTGGAGGTGGAGTAGAAAACATGGTTTTTTCAGACATCCGCGTTCCATGTAAACAAATGCTCATGTCCCAAATTTCATGTTCCAAGCTACTAGCTACATAGACACGCGTTGCAGGCTTTCCCAGAGTTTTGTGAGATGCGCACTGTTTGTGTTACCAAGTAAAATGGAACGTCCGTACAGTGTTTTTGGCGTTCTCAACATAGATTGGTTTCACTGGCCTCTAATAAAAATTATCAAATCTCCTTATACAACTGCTAGCATGCTCTGGGGTAAAAGCGGAGGGATTTTTTAGTAGCAATGTTAGTGAGAAACATTGAAAATGTCACCGAGTTCTTGTTGAGCACACAACTGAATTTAAACAACAAAGCTGACAGAACGGTTCATGTAGCCACCAACGTAACTGTGTTGCATATCAGAAGTGGGATTGAACGTACAGCAACAAACTTGTTTTTTGAATTTTTCAGTGGCGTTCTAAAAAGAATATCAATCAGTTTTGTTTGAGGCGGTGAAAACTTCAGTGGAACTACCAAAAGCAGCCCAGGAGTGTAAAACAAACCAATGGCAGCATATCTATCCAACTTCCATGGAGGTCAAGAGGGCACAGCGGTGTACGGTACAAAACTCCGAGCCATTTCTATGTAATTTATAATAGCAATGAATCTGAAAAAGTTGAGCAGAATGCTTACTGGAGCAAAAGGTAAAAATCGGATGCTTGGATGAAAAATTGTCGATCAGTTCACAGTCATCCCAGTCCCCCAGGATTACTGATAGTCTTGTATTGATTCCAATCTTAAAGGTTAGCGGAGAAGTCTTTGGACTGTGTCAAAGCCGCATGCGTATCTGTGGAAGCGCAAATCTTCCCATAAGCGCCTTTTGTCATAAATAAGCCATCCAGATACTTATCGTTGTTTTACTTTTATCAATAATGCCTCAAGTATCTGAAAATTCAGTCCCGGGCGTCGGTTAGCGTGGATTTTCAAATACCTAACTGTCTTCTACAGATGGCACATTTCCTAACTGGTGTGTAATAGCCAAGATGAATAATCATAGAAAACGAGATTTGTTCTCATGACTTCCGCGGGCATATTAGGATCACGGCCAAACTGGTTAAAAGACAGGAAGTCGGTGGGAATACACGACATTGAGTAGAGAATTTAATTCTTCAGTATAAACACTTGGTGTACATCTAAACCAAAATATTTATTTTTAGGTCAAAATTTATCAAAATAAACGATGTCTCTATCAAGTCGAATGTGGCAAAAGGTTCCTGGAAACGCTCAACTAATGACTTCGCTAGTGTTTTTACCTACATTTCTTTATTCAGAGAACGCTTTCTGTATTGGCAACTCACCCACGATATAATCTTGTCACACTGGGTCAGACTGTGGAATCTTTTGTCCCAACGTTTTAGAAGACCGATCTAACAGAGACTGAGCCATGAGATATTCCACGTCTCGACGGAAGAACGTCCTATATGCATCATGTTTAGTAGTCCGAAGACACATCAACAAAGACTACAAACTAGCCAGCTGACGTAAAATTATAGTGGAACGTCCCTGGAAGGCACATCAGTGTCTCAACTAACTGGCGGTTTCAAAGTCTCCTTCTCAGTATTGTGTCCAAATCTGCTTCGCCTACTGTTGAAAAGTTTTTGGCATATTAGAGTGTTGTCATAAGCTAGTCATCAGTCACTTCCCTCAGAAAGAACTTTTGCGCCGCTCAAGCCTGTTGCCGCATGGAAAAAGGGCATGAAAACCCTTCAAAGTAATTAAAACGTCAGTGATTGTCGCTTCATTTAGTGTCAGGCTGTTGAAACCAGACTTACATTGGTTTATCGGTGTAATAGAAGAATTAAACATTTGACCTGTTCGTCGTAGAGAAAGGTGGGTTGTGACTACTGTGGTTTTTTGGGATTCCCACAAAATGGCAACTGTCGCGGCACCAAGGATCATGCTCAACTCTCCACAAAAGTGTGCAAGCGGAGCTACGTGTAGCTAGTTATGGTCTCCAGTGTGTAAGGTAGAAGCGAAACCAGGGGGATGCAACAAACCGAACTTTGCGGTGAGAGGATAAAATGGAGAACCAGACGACAAAAAGCGACGCGAGAACCAGAATGTCATGTTAATAGGCATCACTTCAGAAGAAACAGGCTTCTAATTTGCCACTGTGTTGTAGGTTAACGGAAGCAAAGAAATCGGCTGTTCTATGATGAGTAATTTATTTTTGCTCGTCTGATTAAATTCTAACCTCGGATGTGGACATTGACTCGAGATTACAGTTGGAGTCGAGTCACTAGTAATCTGAGGTGATTAGGCAATTTTACAAGTCATATTATTTCAGTAATCCTGTAATGAAGTTGACTGCGGTAAAAATAGAGGAGGACGTTCCCCCCCTCCTCCAAAAAAAACAGCTGATTGGGGAATCATATGAGAAAATGATGCCCATAAAAGACGAGCAGTATTTCAAGCTCTCCGTTTTGTTAAAATCATCCGCTTATGAATAACAATCGTAAGACAAGCTAATCTACTCAGCCAAGTCATCGTAGAAAGCACGATTTCACCAAATAGTCATCAAGACACCGCCGTGTGACACAGCAGTGGGGTGTTGAGAGTGGACTGCAAACAACAGAACAACCGGTTTCGGACATATGTTTCGTGTTGCGACCATAAATCTAATGAATATTCTGTAAAACAACAGATTAAAGTCGATCGATCATAGGCAGCGAATTGAAGTTTATAATTCAACGTAATTTATCTGCAAGTTTTTGTTTCAAGCTTCATATACCAACTTTCAAAACTTATAAACTTTCCTTCAAACGAGAGCAAAACGTGCAGGGCTGAGGTTTTCCATCTGTTCGAATTCTCGCTCAACACCTTACGGTGGTTCACCTTCCACTATTACTTCCAACGCCAGGAGGAGAGGCCTTGTGTTGATTTTGCTTTGCAGACTTTTGATTTGGCACCTTTTTTCACAAGTGAGCCACGGTGATATTCATTGAGTGACGGGAGATTTGGATCTCTGTTGACAGAAAAGTGTGGTAGAAAGACCTTTCCCAAGGGGATCATTGAACAATTTAGCACCATGTTTTGGCATTTTATTGTAATCAAAATTACTCACATGTGCCAACATTTTTGTTGTCCACAACACCGACCAAACGACCCTGAACCCTGCAAGATCAGGGAAGTCAGGATAAATTGCATCGATGGACCGTCAGTTGTGCGGTTGACTAAACGTATCCAAGCCTTCCGAATAGGCTGTAAAGTTGTACTGCAGCCACGCAGTAAGTTGTTTTGAGCGTGAAGGGCTGACTGTCCCCCAAAAGGCCAAATCTGCGTGTTTTACAGGCTACCTTTATTTCAACAATTAAATTTCAATTCTTTCTTCTGCTAGGTGTTCTCAGCTATGAACTTAATTTCGTCATTTACCCATAGAATGTGATTGATAACGGGATCCACTTCATCAAAAGATCGCTAAAGATCAAATGTTACGAGCAATTTGGGGGGGACTTGAGGAGAAACGCTGTGCTGAATAGTTTCGGGCTTGCCACAATTCTGTAAGGTTATCTTCCATTTTGAAAGCTGAGCTTCTAAGGTGTCACGTTTTTTCTCTTTTTTTAAGTAGAATTTCGGCGCAGAAGTAATTTGATCGCATCGAAACGCATATTACATCTTTTTAATCCAGGATTTCCTAAAGAAAACCGTTAAAAATCACAATAAAAGTCAACTTATAGAAATTAAAGGGGAAATGAAGTAGGTAGGCCACTCATGGCATCCTTCGACTCATGTTTTTGTGCGTAAGTCAGCGTTCATAATGGCTCGTGAGTACTTCATCATTGTTAAGATCAATAATCGTTTAGCAGTCAGTTAGGAATTAAACAGTCTTTTGCAGCCTGATTGATTTCATACTAAAATACAAACCATTATGCCTCATTTACCACTGCCCACTGGTGCCAACTGAATCGTGAATCAAACTTGAGAAATGTCTCCAAAGGTTGGTTTTCGACCCTGCGAAACGAGAAATGTTTCACATCTCCTTGTTCGCACACGCCCATTGTTTTATCCAACGTTGCGTAAGTTGGGAACGAGATCTTCTAAAGCGCACCACTCGAATGGCACGGTGGCTTGTGTCGAGTGCGTTAGGTGAGCGAAGTGTTTCCGTATCGTCTCGCTCTCACTGTGCCATAGTGAGTGTATGCTTTGGATGTCTAGTATCCTAGTTAATCTGGTGACTTGTAATTAATGGTTATTTTTATCGGAATCGACAGCAGTTGTTGTTAATATAAGACAAGAATGGAACACATTAGTTGTGCTGGTGGAAAATGCGCGCACAAGGAACAAAGGCTTTTGTTTTTTGGCCACTGAGAAGGCCATGTAGTGTTTGGTGTGCATGACAACTGTTCTCGTGAATATATGAGGAATTAATTGGGTTTTTGATCGTAAATATGTTTGTGAAGCTTGGAATGGCTTGCTAACTTTTTGTCGCCAATCGAAAGAACTTTGATAGTTTGTTATTCGCTCACGATTCGTGACGAGAAGTTTGCACGGTCGACGAACGTAGTGATGGTCAACCGATCAACAACAACTGAATGTATCCGAAATACCAACAATAACACAAATGCTATGATAAATTTTTTTCCATTCTAATTGGGCTTGTCAATGGCAGCGACCCACGTCAAAGTAGGCATAACAGTACAACAGTATACAAGTATCGTGGAAATGTATTTCACATTTGATTAATAGCTGCTGAGGGCACTTTAGGGCACGATTTAGGCATAAACAACTCAGAGACTCTAGATCAGCGACTCACAAAAACGGAGTAGAAATGTTTCATACTACAAACTAATGCAAACAAGCAAGAGCGGGTGATAAAGCATGATTCAGATAACATTTCTGGATGGTCCCCTATTTCCACATTATTCTGGTCAGACTGTATTACAAAGGTGAGACATTCCTAGCCAGGCTATGTCAGCTAAAGGCTGTTGTATAGAGCTTAGAAGTGAGTAAAAAGTGAATCCAAACAGAGCCAGTCAGTTTTCCAAGGTGCAAGGGTGATCAAAAGCCTTAGTACACTTGAGCAAGTGGAGGATGAAGAAACAACCCCTCCGCTAGTGAGTTTTGTCCACGGATGACTGAGATGAATCGACCGGCACATCAAGTCGAGAATCAGGGGGTTAAGTGAAAAATGTCACACGATCCAGTAAGTAATTTGAAGTCAGCAGCCGGTACGATTTTAAACGACTGGAACACAATCACTGACCAATAACGGCCTCAGAGAAGTCTTGAAGTGGGTCTGTAACCTGAAGATCCAGGTGGGTTGATGTGCTGTTGATGACACAACTTTTCTCGGTAAGCAAAACTCTCATGGAGTAAGGAAGAAGGCCTTCGCTGCGGAGTTATTTATTAGAAAACGCCAAGTGAACAGTTACAGACTATTGAACAGGGGAGAATAACTCACATATGCATCTTGTTTACAAAACTGAATCTCCTTGAATGCGCATACCTGAACTTTCCTGGATATTCATTGACTATTACTCAAATACAAGCAAATACTACAAAGCGACTCCACAAATTCCGTAATAGAGTTCACTTTTGAAGAGATGTGAGGCGGATATACGAGAAAAAAAATACTACTCGAATGCTTCACCACCAGTAGCATCACCGTTATAATGGTAGTCCTGAAACGGCTTGGAGTGTGATTTTTCATGTAAGGAAAGGTGGACTGTTATGACGAGTCACAAATGAGCATACGACGCTCTCTACCCCATAGACTCCTAATTATCCTGTGTACCAGACGGACGATTTGATGATATGATATTGCATAAAATCATAGCTGTTGTTCCGGTGCACGCAGATCTTCAGCTAAGTGGTCCCTACTAAGAATGTTTGAGGCGAGCTTGTGATGCTAGTGTACTCTAATGGCCTCTTTCTCGCAATTCTGATAGATCAAGAGGCAATTAATACCTCCATAAAAATTTGGGCTTTTATCTGCAGTATTCATTGAAATCGTAAAAATAACAAACCGGTCCGATTTGTTCGTACCAGCGGAGCTTGAAAAACGGTAATTAAGTTTGTAATTTTGTCTTGCCTTGACGATTAACCAAATGTGACAGCAAATCTTTCATGATTTGGGCGATTCGCCCTCCGAATTGGATTTGTACGAACAGAAAGCAAGCGCTGATGTGACGAAAGAAACGGATGGCTTAGCAAGAGTTGACCTCATATAAAAGGTGGTGGAAGTTTCATGTGGTCACATTATCCTACTTCTAAGCAGAATTCCCCATTTCGCTGAAATAATTGAAGCAAAATGCGTGCAGGTTTATGTACGGCCGAAGAGAGTTTGCTCCATCATAGTTTGCCAAACGTCGCCTAAGTTCGAACTTTTTCGGCGGTCGGACAGTAAGTAGTAGTTGCGTAAAACTCTTCGACAGCCCATGACCGATTTTGCCCTAAGTTGCTGAAAGTTCGCTGAGTATTAGCCATGAATTCTCGTCACTCCGCCTGGTGAAGCTACGAGCATTGGTGGGCCAACCTCCGGACGCCAAAAGACAAGTTATTCATAGATGATTAGCGATATAAGGGGATTAGGAGAAAGCTCTTGCTTGGCATCCGTTAAACCAGCTAGATGTCTTCGACAGCCATGACCGATTTTGCCCTAAGTTGCTGAAAGTTCGCTGAGTATTAGCCATGAATTCTCGTCACTCCGCCTGGTGAAGCTACGAGCATTGGTGGGCCAACCTCCGGACGCCAAAAGACAAGTTATTCATAGATGATTAGCGATATAAGGGGATTAGGAGAAAGCTCTTGCTTGGCATCCGTTAAACCAGCTAGATGTAAAACAAGCGTCGTCATAGTATGAATAGTGAACCGCAGGCAGTATGCACGAGCACACTTAGAAACGTGCGGCAGGATAATGGCGCGACGAAATGGGTTTTATCGCGAAACAGACGCAAATAAGACGCGCTGCATTCATTTGGCCTGCAAAACTTACCAGAGTGGGTCAACCTACTCGACAGTGAGCTCGGAATAATTCTGTTCCGACGTCTTTTGAAATATTGGTTTGATTTTTTTCCCTGAACGAACAGCATTACTTGGATTCTCACTTATGAACGTCATGGTTTAGCATCTTTTTACTTCATCTGGAAAAGGCTGTGCGCATTTCGGCACTTAATGAGAAATGCTCTGGAAATTGTAAAACTGAGTCCAACACGGTCAGATGCGCGCGAAAGTAGGTGCGATATATTTCTCCCATTAGGATATTTCTCCAAGTGTTCTCCTGGGAATCATAGCTTGAAGCGGTGTAACTTTTCCGCACAATTTCTCCGATTATTAAAATAATCCTCGTCTGAGATTCTTTCTTCACATTGCACCTAAGCAGGGAACTTTATCGGTGGTTCCAGTTGGTGACTATCCTGTGTGACTATCCTGTCTTGAATGTATAGAGGAGATGAGCAGAATATTCAGTCCAGCCAGGGGTCCCGGGACTATTATCTACCACACGGATGACCGTACTGTTGGTCTCAGTAGCCAGTCGTTAAAAATAAGAAAAACCCTTGCCAGGTTAGAAGCCGAACACAGATGCATATATCGGGACTTTCTTACAAACGTATACGACAAATAAAAAACACAATAGACTGAAATTTTGCAGAGTTCAAAAGTGCGCATCATACAAAATGGCAAAAAATATACCCCTGATGATTCTTGTCATGTGATCGTAACCATAAACACAGACCCGAGTCTAGAGAAACTATACATTATGAGCACTAAGTACATTTTATCGAAGTTCTTTATCTGGACCATAAATCAGTCTAGACAGATTCAGGTTCCTCACATATATATTTCGTTCCGATCACCAACCGCCGTATCTTCAATAACCTACGTTTAAATTAAGCGGTTGGAAGCATTTATTCAATGCAGACATTACAAGAAATAAAATGTATTCTGAGACGTCTTGCTTGTCCCACATCTGAGATTTTTTTACTGTTTAGAGGGAAGTACACGCAAATAAACTCATAAAGAATTGGCAGTCACATTTCCAGACTCGTAAAACTTTTTTTCCTGATGAAGCACCACACCTGGAAGATGTGCGATACGCCTAAGGGTTGATCAGATGGCGTAGCAACTATTCGGTTTTCGAGTGTTCAGAATTGTTAGACATATCTCTTCGTATG